AAAAAAAATAGCTGGCAAGATCTATTATACCCACGCATCGACAAGTGAATGGTCATCATGTGTCACTATATGCGCCTATTAGTGGAATCCTTAATATCTATAATAATAATCTAGAGCTACATCCTGATATGTCAAGTCTGAGAGACAATGGACAAGCGCTAAGGATTCAAGTTGAACTAAACACGATTATTCAACAATTTAAACAAGTAAGGAGAGAGGGCTTTTGTGAGGGGAGAGAACAATTTAATTTAATATATTATAATAGAACTCGATTCCTATAGAAATCAAAAGTAGTCGTGATGGAGAAATAACGATTGAGTTACCTTCAGATTTAGATTCAAGAGTGCATATTCGTCAAGACTCTGTGACAATCGTATCTGATGATGAAAGAGTTCGTTCCCTGTTGAAGAATATCTTTCTTAATTGACAACATCCCCTCTTTTCTTTATTGCTCCTTAAATATCTCATATATACAAGTCTATTCCTTGTTTTTTATTATTCTTTTCTTTTCTCTAAAAAATATAAGCAAAACAAAAAAAAAAAAATGAACCAAACCAAAAAGTTGTCTATTGTAAGACACTATTCTATTTCCTTTTTTCAGTCTTTAATTCTTATATATAGCTCAATAAATCAAACGCGACAAGTACAAAATTATTCTACAACAATAGCGCCATACCAAAGCCAATTCATAACACACACACATCTTCCAGACGGCCCTCACAGATAGCAAGGCCCATGAAATCTAAGAGTCCGACCAAAAAGAAAAGTCCCATGACACATCAACGATCAACAAGTGCACCGACACCCAAACCAACGCTTCATGAAGAAGATATGCCTTGGAAAGAATACGACATGACCGAACGAAAACTATCCTTACCTACGCTGATCCAACCCAATGATGACGATGCAGTCAGTAGCTTTCTCGAAGCAGAAACACTACAAAAGGTAATAAAAACACTACACACACGCAAAAAAAGGGAGCTAACATCAACGAATGAAAGAAACTAGATAAGCAACCGCTCTTGCTCGATTCACTCTATACCAACATCCGTGTCCAGATGGGCAGTCAACGAGCTGCCTTGGCCTGTATCAAACTCGAGTGCCTGACCGACTCGGTCGGGGCACACAAGAGTCTAGGCCAGATCCAAAAAGATTACCTGCAGCTAGAGCACTCGATTGACGAGCTCTATTTCGCCAGTCGGTCAACGCATGACCTATCTTCCAGTTACCTCAAGCACATGAGACTCACGGATCGAGCGTGCGCAAGGCATATTGATTATCTACTTCACCTCTTGTCCAGACTCGAGCAACAGATGCATGTGGACCCATCTGATGTTCTATCTGTGTCGTCATCGACATCGTCTAGCTCGTCCAAGGTGTTTAGCAACAAGACGAGCATCACAACCCTATCCGAAAGCGACGAGACCTGGACGGTAGCTTATCTTGAACAGAGAATCGATTACTTGGTCGATAAACTCTTAAAAAGGGGCCAACGAGAATTGAACAGAGTACTGCACGACGAACAGCCAAGATTAGAACTCGAACGGTCCATCAAACAAAGAGACGAGCTGCTGAACGATCAGAAGGAGGTGATTGCAGACTTGCAGCATGAACTAGACAGACAAAGAGTCGACAGAAAGAGACAAGCCTACCTTGAAGCAGAACTAGACAGACGCTCTGAAGAAAACAAACAGTTGCAGACCAAGGTCGAGATGTTGTCGACAAGTGGTGACATGATTGACGATATGATTGGACAGCTAGAGATAGTCAAACAAAAGGAGTATCAGATACGAGAGTTGCGCACAGAGATCGAAAGGATGAAGCATATCTACACGACCAGAGAATCAGGCTTTATTCTTCAGGCAGCGAGTATTGAAGCCGAGTTGGAAAAGGTGTTGAAGGAGTATGATAAACTGACGAGGAACATTTCGGATTTCAACTGTGAACGACGATTGCTCGAGGACGAGATTGATGACCTGAAGCAGCAAAAGTATGCACTCGAACAACAGCTGCTCGATCAAAAGGTCCAACGACTGTCTGACGGTGGGGGACAGACGAACGTGTTGAGAAGAGAGTTTAGACAACTGATGCAATATGTTAAGCAAAAGCATGCTTATGAATTAAGTCAAGAGACCGAATCGAAAAGAAAAGTGGAACAAAAACTGAGGCAGGTCAAGGCAGAGACTGAAAAGAAGCGGTGGGATAAAGTGCATGTGGGTGTTCAGACTCACCTTGACGTCGGATTGGTAGGAGTCATCGTGGGAAAGTAAAGATCAGATGATGAAAAGTGATTGGATAAAGATTAAAATTTATCTTTTTATCTATAACTTAGATAGTTACACTAGAACCAAAATGAGAAATAAAATTTTTCATTTTTCCCTCTGTTCTTCTTCTTTATTATTATTATCATCATTATAAAATGGCTTATTCTACCTTGATTCTTAAAGAACATCAGTTGGAAGAAGCACGCAAGAAATATCTAACAAACTGTACCAAATGCCATAATGCCTTTAGACCACAGTTATTCGATCGTGATAGATCTGCTATATGCGACAATTGTTTAAACAATACTCAAACAAAGATAGAACATATCGTATGTGCCAACTGTCACGCAACAGATACACCTTTATGGAGAAGAGATGCATCAGGAAAAACTATATGTAATGCTTGTGGTCTATATTATAAATTACACCATGTTCATAGACCACCTACGATGAAGAGTACAGTCATCAAAAGACGTAAACGATGTCCATCCAAAAAGATCAACTTTACGGATAAACCACAAAAGAGACTTAGTATGAGTAGTAGCGATGAAGAAACAAAACATCATTTGACATTACCACCCATATATTCATACCCATCACTAGAATCATTAACCACTCAGCGACTTGAACTTCAAAAAGAGGTTGAACGCCTATCGAAGTTGCTTTCGACCACTGTAACCAAGCTATCTGAAATTGATGATGCAATCGTTAAAATTCAAAAGCAATCCAAGCATGAGGATGAATTGATTGCGAAATCTCTTTTATCTTTGTCGTCAAATAACACAACGACTAAACTTCCACCCATTTCATTTCAATACAATACCCGCTCATAACAGTTTAATAATAATAAACAACAACAATAAGAAGAAGAGGAAATTTCCCATAGTTGCCTTATCCAATGTCCCCTGGTCTATATTATTTCCTATTAAGCGTGTCTCTCTTTCTCTCTCTCTTTTTTTAAAAAAAATGATGATGGATTGATAAACTGGTTACAAATAGAAATAATAAAAAAAAAAGGAATTTGTCATTCCATCTTGTTCTGACGCATTCATAGTGATTGGATACAGAATGGCGTACAATTAGATAAGCACCCAAAAAAGATACACTTATCAATTATCATACATTGATTTGCATTTGAAATTTTGGGTCATGTCCTACAGAAGCATTCTATATACATGACGTAACAAAAAAAGACTTTTTTCTTTAACCGACCACGATAATGAAGGCATACATTCTCTTTAGTTCTATAAAGTATGCTGAAAGAAAGGATCAAGTAAGGCAAGTTCAGAAAAAGGCGCCACATTTCTTTTTAATAAAAAAAAAAAGAAAACAAGGGGGGAGGAAAAACAGCATGAATTTTACATTAAGCTATGACCAACAGTCTCATCTTTGATGAGTATAATCTTCTAAACACGTCAGGAAGTCCACAATAGTGAATTTTACAAAATTCAAGAAGAGCAAATCAGGAACAGTTCCCAAGTTTCTAAACATGTCCTTTTCTGGCCAAGTTACGATCTTTGCAGCCCAACCCATCACATCAGGTCCCAGGTTTTTCAAGCTTTTTAAACTGCTTTGTTCTTGCATCATAACTTCATGTTTGACTTTTGTTTCATTGAATGCTTCTGATCCACAGGTATTTATACATATATCAAAGTAATATTTGACAACCGATAGATCTTCAGTTTATATGATAGGTCTGTGCGACGAAATAATGTTCTTGGACGGAGGTTAGTATCTGTAGTCATTTCTTCCTTTCACAACAGTCATTCCGTAAACCTAAATGCAAATGATATATAAACAAAGTGCGGTAGTCCGGTAGTAAGAAATACATACGGTGTCTTTGCTACTGAAGATATCGTCGTCATCACTTTGAGCACTTTCAAAAGCTCTATTACCTTCAGAACAACATGAAGCAGTTGGGAGTATAGTGGGTGATGTGTTGCCCGTTTTTTTTTCTCAGGCAACTTTTAATTTATACTTGTTTGTGAGAAACTAAAGCCAATTAACGCCTTATTATATATCTGTAATTTTTTTTTTACTTTTTGGCGCTTCCGCTACTTTCGCCAACTTCTTTCATTCTTTTAGCAATCGTTCTACTGCTTGTGATTCTCGTCTCTGAACACAAGCGGTCTTCGCTTCTCTTTTCCTTGCTTTCTATTTCTTTCAACGCATATATGTGACATTATCGGTGAAAAAGTAGCTTCACGTTGGAAGCATAAGAATACAGCAAGATGGAATAAGATTTTTTGTGGTCATTTATGAACAGAAAAAAGAAATTGATCTTTATGCAAGAATAAATGTTGTCAACCAATTACATCTTAGATATGATGTATCATCAAATACTACGGACTGTAAATGCCATGAACCAATGCTGTGAGCTTAACATGAGGCATTATGTTAAAATCGAATAGAAAGGATGACCTTGGCTTGTGTACGAAACAATGTAATATTTTTTTGTTTGCTTATTTGGCCTTTTGATGCTAACATTGTCGGATCCTGTTTCTTATTTGGTAAAGTCCCGTATTGCTATTACTTATCCTGACACTGCATTCAAAATTATTATTCTTTCTCTCTTTTAAAATGAGCCTTTTTTACAAGAAAAAGAAATGAATGACGTTATTTGATCGTAATGAGTGGCCTTTGTTTCTAGCAGGAGACAAACTGCTGCACCACGACTTGCTGTTCTTCACTTATTACAACAATGTGTGACATTTATCCCTTTTATATAGGAACCATTTAAAGATTAAACATGATGTGAGAATAAGGCTTTTTATTCTTTTCCTGATTCTCCTCTTTTTTCTTGCAAGTCTTTTCGAAAGGCCATGCCTGTCATCACTAACTTTCTAAAGTTCTCATTCAATTTACCACGCGTACTTTCTGTAGGGGACAGGCCAAGCGGCATGTTATTATTATTCTTGATAGAGGATGCAGCCGTAGAGGCAATATTTGAAAATGACGTCGTGATCGAACTAGGAATCATTGTGTTTTGGTGAACAGGTGATGCACTTTCAGGTGGTATCATGTGTGAGTTATCAGATAAATTGTCATGGTACGGGACGCGTCTTTGGAACGCATCCATGATCGGCCCTTGGTCAGGTTTTCTGATGCCCTTTAGATCAAGTATTCTCGTAAAATTGCCAATGTGCTTATCCTTGACAAGTAGCAAGTAGTTCTCGACAAATGCCTCGGGTGGCTCGATGGGTGACATCGTCGTTTTGAGAATAGCTTCTACTTTTAATATACCGTTGCTGACAATACGGCTATAACTATGATAGTGTTAAAAGAAGGTAAAGCTTTTGGTATTCTTTCTTACGAACTAGGAATGGTTCTTGGTGCATCATCGCCAGAAGAACCTGCTGACGGTATATCCATTAACAATGTCTTGATAGAATGTGTATCCAACAGGAGTTGTTCGGCTCCAATCTCTGAAATAGGCTTACATCTGAATATCTGTGAAATGTATTTCGTAATAAGCCATCTATATGAGAGTCAAAGTTAGCTCATATATATACATGAAAAAGCGAAACAATATATATGCACATACTTACTCTGCAAACCTGTCACAAAAGGTACGATAATACCGTTTATTAGATACGGTTTTACCAATGATGGTTGTATATCGCTTGATAATATCCATTATCTGAGTGACGTAATCAGATTGATCTCCAACACTATCCATAGTCCCCCATGGTAATCTTGTCATTTGCAAAAACTGTGTGTCCAATACCTGGTCTATACTTTTAATGATGGCATCAATACATAACGAGATTGCTTGCAAGAATCTTTCCTTTTCGTTTGTAAAATCTATTTGGTCGACATATTCCCTATCAATCTTTTCTTTTAGTTTGTCCTCAAGCTGCTGTGTGGTTATGCTGCAATAATCTGCTGTATTCAGACTTAAACTGGCTAATCTGAAATAATCAATAGATTTCTTTTCATTTCTATAATAGGTGTGTTACTATTTGAAGAAACAGTGCTTTTGACTTACATTGCTATGCCTCCCAAGATAACCTTATTGCAGTAGCCGATCAAGTATTTGGCAAACACTTTGGAAAGGTCTAATAGCACTTTACCGGTTGAAAACTTGGAGCATTGAACGAGTGTTTCTTTATAAAAGTAAAACAAGTCTGTACTTGATGGTAACACGACCATCGTATTATCATCTTCCAAGTTTGCAATCGCTATATCTGACTGTGCATAGGAATCAATCATGGATGAAATAGTTCTATTAGGAATATTAGAGACTTTTTTTTTTTTTTTTGTAAACTGTCTATTCTGTAACTTACGCGTCTTCTGCATTAATGTAAAGGTAGAAATAAGGTTCAAAACCAGATGAAATCGCCTTTTCAAAATTTAAGGCACCATTCTAGTCTTTATGTTAAAATAAAGCAAGCAAAAACGACTTTTATGTATACCTTTTCAAAGCGTTTAGTCAATTGCGATTCGAATTCAATGGTCAATTGCAGCGCTTTCAAAAAATCTTGTACATTTGGCACATTATTCTTCATGACTGCTTCAAGATCTACCCTATACAGATATCTGTGTGTCAATGAGACCGTTCATAATAAAAAGTGACAACATTTACTTTGTACAAGCACAAAACTTTTCAGATATCCTTGCATTTACTGCCCACTGATCCGGAAATATATTGACCTCACTACATGATTTCAAAATACGCTTCAAAAATGCGTATCGACGTGATATATTGTCTAACTGAGACACTTCTTCTGTAGGTCTACTGAATATCTGTCGATAACTCTTTAGCTGAAGATCCACATATCGCTTAATCATCTTTTCCCTAAATATACAAAAGTCAGTTCCCTTCTTTTCTTTAAAAAGCAGCTTACTTTGTTGACTCGCTCAAGACGGAAGCGACCAAACAGGCATCATGCAAGATCCAAGCTTGACCGACCAATGCACCGTCAGCACTAAATCCTTGCTCAAATTCCTTCAACACACAATCTTCCAAGTAGCTCTTTAACCGATGAATTCGATCGGATAACTGCCTAATTTGCACCACACTTTTGTATTGTCTGAAATGTTGCATCAATTGAACCACGGCCTGTAATAACTGAGCGCTGTCTTGATATTGTCTATTTTTGGATAAATCCTCCAACTGGTTGACAGCTGTGACCAACATTTGAAGTCGTTTGAGAACGGTGACGGAATGAGTCAGATGGCGTTTTGCATAATCAAGCGATTTCACATCTTGAGTAATGTTTTGTACCATGGATTCTGACTGAGTTGCCTTTGATTTGATATCTTGTATCTGTTTAAATAGTTCCTATGTATACGTGGTTAATATTGAAAAAGATGAATCAAACAAAATGTATACTTTGATGGCATCTTTGGCTTTATCGAGATCTCCTTCTACATGTTGATTTTCTTTAATTGTCTGAATGTCTGTAATTCGCTCTGCTTCTCGGTTTGTTTCCTTGATTTTCGCTTCTAGTTTTTCAAGCACATTGTCAACAGAGACAAGCGATTGTTCTGTATATGAATTAATTAAAGCTCTGTTTTATGCGTTTCTCGTTTGAGGGGGAGTACCATTTGGAAAGAGCTTGTTAAAGTAATCAACAGGAGAAAAGTCTGTAAGATCAAGAGGGTTCTTTGCATTGAGAATATTCAAGGCCTTTGCTTCAAGCTGAGGCGAAACAGTCAGTTGATTCATAAAGAAAAAAGAGAAAGAGGACGGAAATTCAATGTTATTTATTATTATATTATTTTAACCTGCATGTTCAACCGTGACAGTAACGAGTTTTCCATCAACGATGGTTGTCTTGAATTGTTCAGGCACAAACATTTCTTTAAACTCACTATCTTCAGATTCCGGATCTTCAGGGACGTATACGTTCAAGGAAGACGATTTGGCAGACAGGATTTCTACACCCAAACAGTCCTTTGACAGGTAGATCTCACCGCTATCACATTTGTCAACAGCGATGGTTGGTGTTACCTTGAATATTTGAAGGGCAAATGATTTGCTGTTGACCACATCAACCGTCGACACAGTTGAGTCGAGAGCAATACCACATTTCGTACAAGAATCAACAGTGACCGCATTGACTTTACCCTTGATACGAATGGTCGAGCTCTTACAGTTGTAGATATACACAGCTTGGTTGATCGCCGTCTCTTCAATCACGATCTCATGATTGTTTTCGTGGTTTTCGACAACCCACTTGTTGGCCTCTAAAGATGTCTTGGCCGCCTTCTTGAGACTAAACTTGTCGGGTTTGTTGGGTGTAGGTGGACCCTGTTTCTTGGCAGGCGCATTTTGTGCACGCAGACTAGGGTTCTTGTGCGTCATTTGGCTTTTATCTACTTTGCGCAGATTGGCAGTGATACCAGCACCCTGGTTGATCTCGGCAAAGACAGCAGCAGCGCCCGTAGGTTGTGGTGGAGCGTTGTCGTCGTCATCAAAGACCACAGGTGGAGGTGGAGGTGGGGCGACGGGAGGTGCAGGTGGGCCCGTGGCAGTAGATGGTTCAGTCGTTGCTCCTTCAGAGAATGATTTTCCAATAAATGATTCAGCTGATTCACCTTTTGCGTTCCATATCAAGCCAGTAGGAAAGTTTTCCTTGACAAAAACTGCCAAGCTTTCGATGAGTTCTAAATAGGCTCGGCACCACGCTACATGTTTGGTATCCCTAGTCAAGTTAATATAACTGCCTTTTTATACACTAGAGTACTTACTTGTCTTTGTATTCTTTCAACACACGGTTAGAGTAAAACTGTGCAGAGTCTTTCATGTCACGGATAAAAGGAACAGGCGTAGGTTCCTTTTTGTATCATTTAGATCTTTTTTGGTCATTATATTTAATTATATACTTACACAAGTAAACCAACCTAAAGAAGGGATGCCTTCAGCAACCGCGCTCAAGTGGTTAAACATTGGGTCAGCGCGATTCGAGTCCTTGATATTCACAATGTCGGATAAAGCCTTTTGAATAGGCGCGAGTAGTTTCATAAAGATAGGAGAAGACATATCAGGCTTTTGTGCTAATGTAGAAATGTAGATAATATCTCTCTCTGCTTCAAATGCCTGTTTCACTAGAGCTGCCTATATATGATGTTATTATTATTATTCTTAATTATTCTTTTTTTATATTTACTTGAGAAGCGACAAGTTCGCTAATATCAGATGACAAGGTAATAAACTTTTCGAGAGGAGGATAGAGAGCAGCATCGTGTTTCTCGACAACTGCAGGAACTTGCTTCGTATCTGCCGAGGACTGTGCACCTGTGTGTGAAGAGGTGCTTGGTGTTGTTGTATTAACAGTAGCAGATACTGCAGAAGCAGAAGAAGAAGACATGGCCAAGTCTTCTAGACGTGTCGTTGCTACCTCAAGCCGTTTTATGAGGTTAGCTAGTGAATGAAATTCAGACATGGAAAAAGGGAGATGATGTAAAGGGAAAAAAGAATAGGAAAATAAATAATTGTCTCTATAATTGTCTCTCTGTGTGTATTCAAATAAAGCCCCGCTTTCCCTTTTTTTATATATATTTCTCTATGGTAAGAGTGTATGCAATAGCCTTTCGATCAGCCAATACTGCATTAAGCTATCAGACAAGACTTGCTGTAACGTCTCCCCCTCCTCTTTCTTTCTCAATATTTTAATGGTCCTATATTTAGACACTTGGACTGTACCGCTCACTTTTAAGAGCAAGTGAAAAGTATGAACAACATCCAGTGATTTCAAATGCGATCAGAGAGCAATTCAAAGCAAATCGACATGTTACTTCTCGTCCAAGAGTACTTGAATTACTAGATCAAGCCAACAAAGTAAAAAAAAAAAACACACACACACACAGTTTTTGACATTATTGTTCACATAATACATAGATCCATACTCATTTACAAAAAGCAGACTCACATACAACAGAACGAGTGACACAATATGTTGCTGATCACTTCAAAAAGAGACATCCGCCACAGAAAAAGAAGAGCAAGAAAAGAAACTTTAGGAGACGAAAGCCCTACCAAAAGCCCATCTTAGTCACGCACTGGACAGGATACCAATTTTATCGTGTCAGGGGTTGGCGACAGCCCTTGAGGACATCAATGATCATCAAAAATCTGGTCAAGAGACAGCAAAGAAGGCAGGATCTCTATGCGGAATTGGCGGCTCAGTATGAGATGGCGCAGAAGGAATTTCAGTTTGAAAAACAGTTGGGTATGAGGCAGTCCTACCATTGGCTTCAAACACGTAAGCAACTCATCAACACACGCTCTCGATCACTCACCCATTATTTCAATTTGTAGTCAATCTTATAAAGGAAGCTATGAACCGTTGTCATAAAAGGAATTTGAAGACAAAAACGATAGATCCCGTGAAAAAGAACATGATCCTTCATGGTGAAGAGTTGAGTAAAGAAGATTTAGAGACAGGAAATGTTGTCAGTCTGAGACGAAAGATGAAGAACCAGAACTTGCGACATAAAAAGACTGTAGAAAAGTTCAAGACAAGAAGTGTTGGAAAATAACATGAAAAAAAAATAAATATCATTTATGTATATATATAATAAAGCGCAGCTTATGTGTTTCTATATAAATTATGTAACAAGCGTGTGATTAGTTCACTTTCTTTGCAGCAGCTTGTCGTCTACCATAGGTACGACGAGCGAAATCAACAAAGAGGTAAGTTAAAGGTAAAAGATAGAGCACGTTCAAACCAACGGCGAACTTTTGACCAGGAGTAGACAAACAGTTGGGCACAAACAAGTAACTGATGGCAGTAGACATGCCTACCAAGAATTGAGAGATCTGCATGGTTGTCAAATAACGCTTGCCAGGAGGATGAATACCGACTGAGGTTAATGCGTAGTACATGTACATGATGGAGTGAATGAACGAATTGAAGACGACAAAGATCCAAATAGGTTGAGCTCTGTAGCGAATACCAGACCACATAGTAATCATGGCACCAGAATGATGATATGTTTGTAAAAGTGATGAACGACGACCCTTGAGAAGAATAATGGCTGTATCGACAACTTCATAAAACTTGGAAAGATAAAACAAGTATCCCCAGTAACCGAGAGCATCGTTCCAGAGCATACCATCTACATCACAGTACTATATTACATTAGATAAAACTGTAAAAAAAATTTTTTTTTCTGGGAACTTACTGCATCATGCACGGAATAACGACTGAATAACTTGTGCATTGCTTGGACCATATTGACAAATGTTACACCAGAGTAGATCGACAGCATCAAATTATGTGCAAAAATGAATGCTGTAAACAGCTTGTTACTGCTCGAAGTGTTCTTCACCCCACGGTTCTTGGCTTCTACTCGGGATACCTTGGCGGCTTCAGGGCTAGGATTCAGCAAATGAATTACGATTGCATAAGTAGCAGCAATCACCACAGGCGTCTTCCAATTCATAAAGAATGAATAGTATTGTGGAAATGGGATATTGGGAATAGGCTTTAATCTGTCGACGTCCATTTGGTTTATGAAAAAGAGGGGGAGAGAGAAAGATAAAAGATAAAAAAAAAAACCGGGAAATCGTTTAAAAAGGTCCCAAGGAGTGTGTTTTTTTTTGGCCAACCAGGGATATTCCAAATCCAGATCCCCAGAGTTTGGGCTCTGGCCCATTGTTTACAGTTTAATCAAAAGATATAAGAGCCATTTTAAGAGAACTAAATCATTCATTATTAAGAAAAAGAAAGGGAGAGCAAGAGAAAGAGAGATAGAGGAAAAAAAAGGAGAAAGACACAGGGTTGCCTAGCATACTATCGGGAAGGACGGAGCTTGGTTGCTATAGCAAAAAACAATTTTTATTTTTTGAATGCCCCAACATGTGAGTTAGGGCTTTTTTCCACTGGGTACAAATTCTAACTTGCATAAACCTGCTTTACCTCCGGAGGCAATCCAACCACATGCCATTGAATTGGGGTTCCATACAACCTAATTTTAAAAATTAAGCTCAAAATAATGCAAATGTGTCTGTGTGTATACCTTGTGTAAAGAAACGTTGGGATTGAGTAGCACATGATGAAAATCTCGGCTTTCCTATAAAGTGTGTGTATATATCACCACAGCAATTAGACTTTTTTTTTATAAAGCTTACATTGGTCTTATTCAGATAGCGATAGACATCACCATCAAAACAAAGGCAGTACAACAAGTTTCCATCAGCCTAATCAACATATTAATACACAATTCATTCCACATATGCATACTGCTTACTCTGCCCTTATGTTTTAGTGGCTGACCCGCTGAATCTGTACAGTATCTAAACATGACGATGCCACTAGAGCTTGCAGAGGCAACGAACTCATGGAACCGACAAAAGGCTATTGACCAAATCTGTCCATGTCCGGACGAGAAGAGGGCTGTCGATTGCTTTGAGCAGAACGACATGTTTAGACGGCAATTACCTTCTGGATCTCCATAAAAGAACGAATGGGTGAGATGTTCTGCTCCTAGGACAGGCACAAGGGGAGATTTTATCTTCATCACCTGCTGGCTCATGAACGGGTCTCGCATATCGTGTAGGTAGACACGGCCGACTGTATCTGCCGAAAGCAACAGGTTATCAAAGAGAAATGTCCAACTAACACTTCGTATGGGCGCTGTCATCATCAGCTGAACATGGACGATGGGTATATCATGACAAAGAGACCGAAAGATGTCCCAGATGACGATTGAACCTGATATACTGCCGCACGCCAATAACTGTGACGACCAAGACATGCAGAGATAATAAGCTCGAGGTGACTTGAGCACAAACCGAGGCTTCCTTATCTTTACTATAAGGTTGTTATAAAATATCAGTCGTTTGGTATATGCGGGTTCACTCTTGCTTTACAATAGAGAGTTTCGTTACTGGGGCGTCCCGTTTGCTTCCTTATTTGGTCTGGATGAGGCACTACTAAAATATAGACAGATCCATCACCTATGAGTACAGCCAAAATGCCCAGTTTTGGCCCATAGCTGCTCAGAGGGCACCATTTCAGGTCTGCAATGATCCCAAAATCGCCCAGTAGACACATATCTAGTGTAGGTTGATGACCAGAATCATATTTCCATATACAAATTGCATTCTTGTAACAAGACACCTCTCCGAGCGCATAATGTTCCTCTGTCGTCTTGTATCCTCCTATCGCAAGATACTCTGCGTCTCGACTGCTACGTTTTTTAGGCACAAAGTCCATGGCCCATATCGAGCCTCCATGATTAATGATGAATGAGTTATTGGATGTCCGTAGCCCGTTGAGTGCTTCTAGGTTATGTAGTGTGCCTTCATGTTCGACCTTGACTGTAGTTTTTGGTAAGTAGTCCTCAATATCTCTATATCACATGAATAAAATGCGTATAAAAATACAAGCTTTTATTTATACTGATAGACTTGAATCCATTCTTCGTGTTCTTTTAATGGTATATTTTGGTACTCATTCCATTCTCCTAGCTTATTATATCTTTTTAGCGACTCTGTGTGCTTCATTGCATAAAAAAAGAGAGAGGCATTTTAAATTGCGGTACACGGGTCCTTTTAAAAAATTGTGGCTTAGTGTGACTGCCTCGCTGTCATTTTCTTTATAAAAAGGGAAGCGTTTTGAAATTTTTTTAAGGCACACTTCTTCACCACACAAACACAACAAAGGTAAATATTCCTATTTTATTTTAATAAAAACCACAAGTCATGTCAGGAGGATCAACAGAGCTATATGCTCGGATCAATGATGGTTCTCTGTTACACTCGTGGAATATTAATCCTTGTTATTTTAACTGTAATTCACCTGTTCTAGGTGAATTCGAATTAAATAACGTTCGTTTCGTGTAGAGTTGAAAGTCTTCTTCATGTGAAGATCTTTCTTAGTAACGAAACATACATCTTTTATATATTTTATTATGGGATGAATTTTGGATCTAATATCTTTTTTTCTCTTTATAGTTTTTACGCTCTTTGTGTCTTTGTGTGTATTTAATATTAAAAATAAAAGTAAAGTTATTTGTATACAATTTTTTTTTTTTTTTTTTTTCTGTCTTGTGTATACAAGAGTGTTGCGCGCGTGAAAAGAGAGAGGAGGGGAACAATAAAGGACCGCCAAGGATTTGTACAACATTATATATTCTTTATTCACTCTAATGAACCCATCAGCCAATCCTCCCATGCGCAAACGTGACAGATTGCGTTCGTTTGCAACAGCCACAACTCAAGTCATCAAGCAAGAAATCAATAAATATTATCAACCCAACCTTGTTCCGTCGAGAAGTGTGGGTAGTGTACCAAGAACAGATACTCAAGATATAGACGACATCTTGAACACTACCTCGGTAGATACTGTTCAGGCGCAATGCTTGATATTTCCAACCTACGCTTATCAAGATGACCATGGCTGGAAGATTCATTTGTGTGGATGGACATTTGCTAAACCATCGTCAGGTCGTCTTGATAGGTTTTTATTAGGTAAAAAAAGAAAAAATAAACAAATAAAAAAAGAAAAGAATAAACAAACATCTCTCTTTTAGCTGCTGGACGAACCTATGGCGGCTTTGCCAAGGACTCTCAAGAAGACTTTCATTTTTCAAGCCTATTAAATCAATTTAGATGTCAGACCATGCGCATGCTTGACCTTAAGCTGAATGTACCACTGTTGAAAGAAAAACTAAAAGATATCCTTATTAATTCGGGATCAACGGGTCGATTTGAACAAGAGGTGATTGTCAATCGAGAATGGATCAAGAATTCACGAGAAGGACTGAATGTGGAAGCATGGTTAGATGATAACCGTAAGGGGAGAGAAACGAGAAAACAAAATGAACAAAAAATGACTAACACGTACAAAGAGACTTGCTTTACTGGGTTTGTAGATCTTGTCGAACCCTCTGGAATATCTGTGATTTCAGACATAGACGATACCATTAAAGTGACCGACATATTAGATGGTAGAGACGCCATATTACAAAACACATTTTTCAGGACAGCTCGAGAGGTACCGCATATGAATGAAGTCTATCGTGCTTGGGCAGCAGAGGGTGCCCATTTTCATTACGTGTCAAATTCTCCTTGGCAGATATACCCAGCACTGATGGATTTCATTAACGATAAGCAGTTCCCCAAGGGAAGTATGCATTTACGAACAGTGAGCACACAGGATTTGATCATGGGCAGGCCCGGTAAACACAAGTTAACGGTCATTTCCAAAATTCTTCGTGATTTTCCCAATCGCAAGTTTATTCTCGTAGGTGATTCGGGTGAGATCGATCCTGAAATGTAAATAACAAGCATAAAAGAAAAAAGGATAAAAATTAAATCATAAGCATAGATATCAGCAAATTTATAATGAATTTCCAGACCAGATCATAAAAATATTCATCCATGATGTCTCTTCTCAAAGGGCCATCAACGCAGACCGCCGACTGTCCAGTGCGAGTGTGATGGACTCTTCTTACTACAGTGCTATCCGCAAATTTATATCAAGAGAAAGCGCGCTTCTCAGAAAGAAGGATTCTTCAGCTCAACTTGCTATGGATGTCATGGCTACAACTGAGATTCCTCAAGAACAACAGCAGATGACAGACCCACAAGTCCCTCTTGTGACCAAACTAGAACAGTTTCAACAACGCATGGATCGTGTATCGAGCAATATGCGGGAAGGCGTCTTTACTGTCTTTTCTTTGGCTTCTCAACTCATGCTAGACCCTGTGATTGCCGAAGAATTCTTGATGAATAAAAAATAATACATATATTGTTTTTATTCAGGAACCATGGTTTTACAAAATAACTTTAATCGAAATGCATCCACGCCGTTCAGATAGTATCTATAGAGTCGTTTGTCTTTTATAAAGCCAAGTCGCTGATATAGTTCCAGTGCGCCTTGATTTGTATATTCAGTCTCCAATACCACCTTTTATATATATATATTATTAACATCCATTAAAAATATGAGTATATATAAATGTACCTCATCTGCACCCATCTGCTTCATGGCCATTATGGCAACCTTGACAAGACTTGAACCAATCGATCTCTTTCGGTGTGTTTTGGCTACAGCCAACATGGCAATATATCCTCGTAATCTGTCTTTATGTTTATCCACTTTACAAATGATGACACCTACATACTCATCTCCATCCATGGCCTACTTTAATATAGTCAATCCATGTACTTTTTCGTTGTTTTTTTCTTCTTTACCAAAAAGCATAGATTAGGCCAGTTGTGTATAAAATAACGATAGGTATAAATTGAATAAGGTTCAGACAAGTCATTTTCAATTAAATGAATAATAGCCGGAAGTTGCAACTCTGATTCATATTGCTTATACTCGATCGTTGACATTGACTTCCGTTCTCTCTTTTATGAACAAAAGTGTAAAAAAGAGAGAGAGAATAGGGAAAATGCAGCCAATAAATAGTCACGTCTTTCTTCTTTCGTAGCAACTTTTTTTAATGAGTTTAGAATCAGAAGGTTAGTTTCTTATTGCTTGTTTGAAGAGAGAGATTAATGGGGCCATTCTTAGTGGATAGACTAAAGAAGAATTTGGACCGAGAAAGAATAACAGTTCGACTACAACAACAGACGATTCAAGGTGAGATTCAATACAAACATGTCGATTTATATATGCATAATATATTGGATATAGACCTTGAAAACAAGCTGAGAGAATATCAAGATAAAAGCAACGCAGAGACACCAGATGAACTTGAACTAGAAGGTAAAACAAGACGATAGAAGAAGAACAAAGCGATTGATCATTAAATAGAGAGCCAATTATTAAAGGAACAGTCTGCGAGAAAAGTGACAGAACTAGAGACAATCATCAAGGAGAATAATCAGCAACTCTTAGCTCTAAGGAACAACATACAAGGTATGCATATATACATACTTTAAATACACACATGCCAATGCTTTCTTTTTATAATAGCTTATGAAAAGCAAGTCACTGAAAATCATCAAGAGATCTACAGACTACAAGATGTGATCCGTGAGCTACAGTCGTCACTGACGGAGAAATCAAGCATGATCAATTCACAAGCCATGTCGATCCTATGTAAATTATAAAGAGATTATATTTTACATCAGTCGACTCATATATACATACTTAGCATACAAGCATCAAATACAAAAACTACAAAAGAAACTAGAGCTACCGATACATTCCAACAGTAAATCAGCGATGAAGCCTTACTATAGAAAATCACAGCCATTAAAACAACATACCATCAATTCGACGTTGATGAGACAGCAACAACAACAAAAGCCAACAGATACCCAACCTTCTTCTTCTTCAGGCAAAGAAAATGAAATTATTGAACAACAGCCGCGGCTCCAACCATTAGAAAAGCTTCCTATAAGTACATCCTCTGAACCTACAGAATCCACTCGTGCTAGACATGAAAGAATCCACATGCATGGAGAAACCTGTGTAGCATGCGAAAAGGTAAGCAATCAATCAACACATTCTTGAGATTAATAGCTGTATATATAGTTTTATGATACAACACCACTTCCTGATGTTCACGATCAAACTGTTCAATACACGGCTTCCGAACGAATTCAACTCCATTCAAGACACAGACATAGACAAAGAGCGACGACTCCGCCTGGATTCTGGGATATGGAATTTGGATCTCCTGAGATTGACTCGACAAGGCATATCCGCTTGACATAAGCGGAGATTGATCTTTTTTTCTGCGAGTTTTTTTTTATTCTTTTTTCTCTCTCTTTATATATAATAAAATGGAAGAATACCAAAATGGATCTTCAATGTTTGGTAAAAAGAGAGTGAGAGCTACACAAGCGTGTATTCTTTGCAGAAAGAAAAAAGTAAGAGAAAAACTTTTTAACTATTTTGAAAAAGTTCTAATTAGAGAATTAAGATCAAATGCGATGGAACCAAACCTCACTGTCTACATTGTCAAGAATCCAACTTGAATTGTGAATACACAGAATCTAAAAAGAGAGGGCCACGTAAAGGATACGTTCAACTATTGGAAGATAGACTAGCACAACTCGAAAGACGATTGACGGTAGCAACGAACGATAATTTAATGGACGATAAAAAAGGTTTTTTTTTTCTTGAGAGAGAGAGAGAGAGAATTTCTAATGTCAAGATATAGAGGATTTGGATAACGATTTCCCTGAGCCAGAGATAGTGACTCATCTGATAGACCTCTTTTTTCAATACATCAATTCTGTCTTTCCCTTTGTTCATCGTGCAAGACTTAAACAATCTATCGCGAATGGAACAGTGTCCAAGCCGTTATTGTGGAGTGTGATGGCTATTGCTGCAAGGTATAATTAATAAGAACTAGCGCATTACTCAACTTGTGTGACTCATCTATTACAGATTTTCAGATCATCCAAGCATAAGGACAGATCCCCCTTACTGGGCAGGTGAAAGGTATGCCATGAAGGCTACCTCTTTGATCAATGCATCCTTGTTGGAACCAACGATAGCCAATCTTCAGTTTTGGGGAATTATGTCTTGCTTAGAATATGGAAGAGCATCTGGGTCAAAGTAAGCCCATTCAAAAAAAAATAGAATCGGCGTTGACTTTAATTTAGAGCGTGGACATATGGGGGAATAGCCGTGAGAATGTGTCAAGAGCTTGGTCTACATAAAGAAGAGACATTAAAGGCACCGATTACAGCACCTGATGGAACCTTGGACTATGTAGCTATGGCTCTACGAAGACGTATCTTTTGGAGTTGCTTTTGTATAGACAAGTAAATTTATTTCCTTTTTTGATTTCCACATGTTTGTGACATTGAACTATTGCGACACATAGATTTTCAAGTACCAGTACGAACCGGCCACAAGGCTTTGAGATTGGCGATTATGATGTTAGACCACCCACGGTAGCAGAGAGTAAGATATTGCGCGACCCACTTCAAGCGTATACGGTAGATAAGGTCTTGATTGATGAAGATCCACTCATGGACTCCATTGGGGAGTACTTGAGCATTTTGGAAATATTTGGAGATATCACAAAATACATGAGTAGAGCCAAAACGGATTCTTCGTCTGTCATTTGGCCGCCTATTAAAGAACATGAAGACCTAAATAGAAGAATGGAACTCTGGGCAACGAGTTTGCCAGATATCTACAAGTTCACTCCCAACAATATAAAACTGTATAGAGAAACAGCCAGCGAAAATTATATCAACTTTTGGCTCTGTTCACATGCCATTTATTGTGCCGGCATGCTTTCGCTTCATAGAGGAAGCTTAGCATACAGTGATCTGTCATCTGCTGAGATACCGACCGAGACGTATGAGAGAATACAAACAAGTATCGCATCGTGCAAAACACATGTTGATATTGCAATGGAAGTGTTTAGCAAACTTCGTGATTTTTGTGGATGCAATGTGCTACCTTACATGGGATACGCTGCTTATATTTTTGCGACAGTGTTGATGACTTCGACATTTTCGTCAGATCCGATATTGTATAATAGAAGTAGCAAAGGCTTGGCTGTTCTGTTTGATACAATAAAGGTAAGTCAATTCCTATTCGCCGGTTCTTTTTCTTAAACACCACGTAGCTATTACGTCCCTATTGGCCAGTAGGCGAGAGATTAGCATTGACCACTCAGGACATGCTAGCAGCTCATAGCCGACTCTATGATGTACAAGAACAAGAAGAAAACCAAAAGAAGAAATACGAGCATAACTTAAAGCAGATAAATAGTCCAGCTGCAAAGACATCATCTGTATCAAGTACAGACACAGGACTTCTTTCCCAACCCATGCCAATACCTACCACAAGCTCAGAATTAGCGTATCCCCCTGCGTTCATAGACAATAATGTTCAACCTTACTATAATCAACAACAACCACCATTACCTCTTCAACAACAACAACAACAACAACTTGGTGTGGGCGGCAATGAAATTGATTTTAGCAGTAGCGAATTTCTGTATGACTCGGCATTATTTGGACAAATGATCCTAGACACGTCAAAACCACCGAATATGACAGCAAATATGTTTAGTTACTATCCTCCTGCCTCCACTTCTGCATCCACAACAACAACAACAACAAGTACTAGTAATACGCCGTATCCTATAGTCACACCCATGTATCATCCAACCCCTTATTCCGCCTTTTCATATCAACAACCTCCACATCATTAATACCAAAAGGGAGCATCCATGTGTACAGCATTGCTTTTGTGTTGTTTAATTGCACACACACACACTATATATATATGCACAGTTTTCTTTTTATAGAGCATTCTAACTTTTTATGCACCAAGCTGTCTATTTACTAAAGTAAAGGATTAAAGACACATTGATACTACAATAAAAGTATCTTTAGAATAAATAAACATGCAACTACTCTTTCCTTTTTCAGTTTTCTCAAAAAAAGTTTAATAACAGCAATCATCATTTTGACAAAATTGGTAAAATGCTAAAAAATGAGCATTGGATCCAAACATTGTGTAAATTCAACGTTATTTATTCAAGCTTATTATTAAAAGTCAAATTTTCTTTACATAGTGATAGACTATGATACGACGCGCGTAACCCATAGTCAATGCTAAGAGCTTGTATATGTATCGACTGTCCGCGGGCTGATAGAGCTATTATGGTCCGCGTCATGGTTTAATAGTACAGTGCTTCTGACAAGCAGTGTCGCGGACAGTCAAATGGATGTCGCTAGCCAATCAAAATCGGTGTCGTTTGCTGATCAAAAGACAAGTTGTATTTTTAGAAATCATGATGTTTTTCTCTTCTATTTTTTACATTTAGCATGAGTGCACTATTTGAGGAGGGGTATGGAAATGTGGTTGATGAGGATGATGGTCCCTGAGCTCCGATGAAAGTGTATCGTTAATCAGGATGAATTTGTTATTGAGGCAGCTGCGACTCATTCTGAATACTTAATGTATTCCTCTAGAGAATCTTCACTAACTTGCCCCAATGTTGATAGAAAAGCCCAAAAGATGAAGACATTCGTATGAAAGAAGCAGACACAAAGCGTGATTACGTGCGCTACAACTATTCAAGATAAGGTTCGATGTTTCGACCTAAAGATTGAAAAGTGTATGAGCGCATCAACTGCAGCGAAGCAGTTGAGGTAATCACATTCGAACCGCTCAGAGATGGGTCAAGCTGTACAACTTGTGCCCTGATAGCATTTTTGAGACTTGTAAACAGATAGATCGCAGATGTAGCTTGACCAAAGAACATAAGACAGTTCTTGTTGATTTCATTGACGGTAATCCTTCTGCTTCTGTCACTGGAGTGACTGAGCATTTGTTGAAACGGTTCAATGATCTCAAAGTTTCACGTAGCACGGTTTATAATCTCATGAGAAGCGAATGTAGCCTTTCGTTGAAGAAAGCTGGCTTCCATTCTGTCGAAAGAAATAGCCCAGCAAAGATTGAGGAGTGATACGATTGGATTTGCAAATGGGGAAAATACAGACATGAGTTTTCTGACGAATTGCGTGTTTCTTGACGAATCTGCTTTTAACATCACTATGAAACGCTCGAGAGCTTGGTCCAGAAAAAGCACGCGTGTGCCATTGTTACCAGGCCGACTACGCGAGCAAACACAATGTCTATATTGAGGGGACTATCTCTGTCGCAGGTTTGATTATAATCGGTGTAAAAA